CTCTTCTGGCCTGTAGGCATACACACAGACAGAATATTGTATACATAATAAATAAATATTTTAATAAAAAAAAAGTCTGAATGGAGCCAGGTGGTGGTGGTGCATACCTCTAATCCTGGCACTCTGGAGGCAGAGGCAGACTGTGTGTTCAAGGCCAGCCTGGTCTACAGAGTGAGTTCCAGGACAGTCAGGACTACACAGAGAAACCCTGTCTAGAAAAAACTAAATAATTCGGAATTGATAAGTAAAAATTATTGGATGATGGGCCAAATCAGCTATCCCTGAAGTTCTTATATTGAACCCCTAACCCAAAATATTGAAGCCTTATCTCAACACCGGATTGCATGTGGGTAAGGATGTTAAAGAGGCAACTAAAGCTAAATGAGGTGCCTGAGTAGCCTTCATCTAATCTGACTGGAGTGTTCATAAAAAAAGATGAACATACAAAGGAACAGCAAAGATACACTACATAGAAATGAGGCAGGATACAGTTAAAAAAAAAAAAAAGAAAGAAGAAAGAAAGAAAGAAAGAAAGAAAGAAAGAAAGAAAGAAAAGAAAAAAGCCCATGCAGCACAATAGAGGCTTCCAGACACTCTAAACCTGCTGGGACCAATTTTGATTAGCTCCCAAAACTGAGAAAATGAAGTTCTGCTGTTTAAGATCTCTAGTCTGTGTTACTTTGTTTGAACAGCCCTAGCAGACTAGCGTAACTGAAGGGCAGGACGTTAGCTCAGTAGTAAAAATGCTTGCCTAGCATGCACAAGATGGGGTTCAATCTGCCAAAGTATAATAAATGATGGAGATAGACTAGAGAAATAGATAGATTACAAATCTGAGGCAAATTAATTGATAATCACTGTTTATTGGTATTAGTAATTTGGAAAAACAACAAGAATTTAAACAAAATTAAAGGAAAAGTACTAAATGAAAAGAAAATTATCAGATTATTGTACATATTAATATTACATCCTTTATTTAAATTAAATAATGAAGCCTCTAAAATTTGGACTTATAATAGATGTTATAATTATAGTTTTGGCCTTCAGAAACAACCCAATTCTAAGTTAAGATAGGCTACGTCCTCCATTTCTAATTCAGAGTGCACAGTACACCTGATGCTGATTCCAGTCCAGAGTGAGCAGTTCAGCTGAGGGAAGTGAAGCATGCCACATGCAATGAGATGCTTGACCTACCTACCATATTAATAACACCTTTTATTAATTTTTCATCCGATTTTCCAGGACAACTTTCTTTTATCTTTATAACGGGGACTTCCATTATCTTAACAGTCTGCAGAAAAGAGACTTAAGTATAAGAAAGACAGGTGGGAGAAGAATCTCTTTAGAAATCAACTACAAACTCCATCTCCTTACCTTTACTGCCTTGAGAAGCTCTTCTTGTTTCCCAGCTTCCTGGACCAGTATCAGTCTTGTTTCAACCTGAGGCATTTCTTCTATTAAATGTAAAATGTTTCAATATGTTAGGGTACCAACAACACAGTCAGCAAGCACTTCCTCAACCTTCTTCCCAGCTACAAAGTCTTCTACCTGAGGAAGGTAGAACATTCCCAGAAGTTAAAATGACCTAATTCTGAGTTTCCTACAAAAATATATGACTATGTATCACTTTTAAAAAAGAAATGATACAAGCAGGTGGTGTTACCTTTAATCCCAGCACTTAGAGGCAGAAACAAGAGGATCTCTGTGAGTTTGAGGCCAGTCTGGTCTACAGAGCAAGTTCCAGTACAGGCTCCAAAGCTATACAGAGAAACCCTGTCTTAAAAAAAAAAAAAAAAAGAAAAGAAAGGAAAGGAAAAGATAAATTGTAGCAAAAGGCAAACAAACAAAAGAAATAATTCTGCCCAAGAAGCATTATCAAGCATGTCCCTCCTCCTTAAGGTACAGGGAGCTTTAGGATTTACAGACCGCCTACAAAGCAGTGAGCTAAGCGGCTCTGGCATAACCACAATGCTGCAGCTAGACAGTCTCAATACAAGGAAAGCAGTATCAGCACTAAGACTCCCTTTTTCAAAGTGGGAAGCATTACCCCACATGATGGACAGAGAGTACAGACATAGTGCCGGACTTACTCAACACACAGCCTCTAACTTAACTTACATCAGTGACAGAAAAAACCAGCAGTCAGTACTTGAGGATTAAACCATTCTCTTTCTTTATAAAGCAGATAATAGGCTTACCATCAACATTTGAAGAAGAAACCATGCACAAGTTTTCCTTGGAAGTTTCAGTAACTTTAGAATCAAAAATAGAAGAATCTGCCAAGTTAGTTATCTCTGTAGGAGACGTTAGTGCACTGTTGTCAGACATGGTTTGAACTGTTTTGTGGAGGCTGAAAAACAAAATTTGGAATTTGAATACATGAAACAAACCTAGTCACTGAGCAACAACAAGCTTTAAAGCAGTGGTCCTCACCCTTCCTAATGCTGCAACCCTGTAAAACAGCTCTCGAGTTATGGGGACCATAACATAAAATTATTTCATTGCTATTTCATACTGTAATTTTGCTACTGTTATGAATCGTAATGTAAATATCTGATACACAGGACCTCTGGCATGTAACCATGACAGGCTGAGAACCACTGCATTAGAAGCTATGCTTGTGGAATGTAGAATTTATCCACTGGACCCAGGTGGTAGAGGATGGTCATGCCTGAAATCAGCTCCAGGAGGGTGGAGGTAGAAAGACTGGGCGGTGGTGGTGCACGCCTTTAGTCCCAGCACTTGGGAGGCAGAGGCCGGCTGATCTCTGTGAGTTCAAGGCCAGCCTGGTCTACCAGAGCTAGCTCCAGGACAGAGAAACCCAGTCTCGAAAAACCAAAAGAAAAAA